TAAAGTGATTTGCTCTGTTGACCTGTTATGATTAAATGTACAACACAATACACTGTATTAGAGTTCTACTTGTTGAGTATAAAAATAGTATAGGTGAAAATAAATGTTTTGAGTTGTAATTAATTATAATCATAATTCATAATGATGCAGTACTTTGTATCGTTATGAACTTTACCTTTTCAATAATTTAACCACACTTCAAATAGTGCTTTTCACAATTTAGCATGGTTGCAAAGCAGCTTTAAATACATATGTGACCCTGGACCAAAAAAAAAAACGTAAAACAGTTAAGTCGCTGAGGGATCTTTGTAGCAATAGCCAAAAATACATTGTATGGATCAAAATTATTTTTCTTTTATGCCAAAAATCATTAGGATATTAAGTAAAGATTATGTTCCATGAAGATATTTTGTAAATTTCCTACCATGAATAAAAAAAATATATATATATAACTTAATTTTGATTAGTAATAAGCACTGCTAAGAACTTAATTTGGACAACTTTAAAGGCAATTTTCTCAATATTTAGATTTTTTTGAGATTTTCAAATAGCTGTATCTCAGCCAAATATTGTCATATCCTAACAAACCATACATAAATGGAAAGATTATTTATTCTGCTTTCAGATACATTTTCAGTATAAAACTAATAACTTAATTTTGATTAGTAATAAGCACTGCTAAGAACTTAATTTGGACAACTTTAAAGGCAATTTTCTCAATATTTAGATTTTTTTGAGATTTTCAAATAGCTGTATCTCGGCCAAATATTGTCCTATCCTAACAAACCATACATAAATGGAAAGATTATTTATTCCGCTTTCAGATACATTTTCAGTATAAAACTAAAAAAAAATGACCTTTATGACTGGTTTCGTGCTCCAGGGTCACATATAGAAAGTAGTTACAAAAGTAAACATATGTACACAACATATAGTCATGGAATTGAAATGGTGAAAGAAATTCATGAACTTGATCAGAAGGTTTATTACTTTAGTATATTCCCAGTACACTCCAATGCACCTGTACCAACACACTTTTTCCATTAATAGTTCTTTAATGTCCTGCATGGACAATGACAATGTTGCACTTGGAAATGTGGACTGCAGCCTTTTGGGCTGTAAAAATATTATGAATTATTAAACAAATTATTACAATTATCCTGACCAGCCCTCAAAGTTACACTAAAAGTTAAAATGTCAAATAAATTCAGAGATGTTACCTTAATGAAAAGTAACAAAATATATTCAAATAATTTCAATGGATACTTTACATATAAATCCGCAGCGTACTGCGAGACTATCAAACCACCAAAACATTTCATTGCATGTTACATTAACATTTGTGCAGTGCATTGAGAGTTGAAGCGTGCAGAGACAATGGGCAGAGATGTTACGGATGGGTTTATTCTAGGGCTGTGAATCTTTGGGTAGACAGCGAATCGATTAGATTCACGGTTCATAGGTTTTTGATTCGATTCAAGAATGATTTTTGCAAATTAAGAAAGCTTCAATTTGATTTGATTAAATTAAGGATTCGATTCTGCATTCTTTATGTGCATTCACAGGATTATTTAAATGCTTCCCCTAAATTCTTTAAATGCTTAGTCAGGGCGCAAATTACACAACAGCCTTTATGGTTCGAGAACCATAGGTTACAGGAAAAAACCCACTTTTGTGCATTGTTAGATGCTAGTTTAATGATGCTATGGCATGACATGGCATATGTAGAAATTTATGTAAGCCAAGATTAAAAAAAAAAAAGAAAAAAAAAAGAGTAAAAGTATTATATAGGCTAACATTTTGTCACACCAGGGGGGTAGCCATCATTTCATAGTTCATAGTTTCATAGTTTTGTTTTTACAAGGAATTATTACAATATATATATTTTTTTTTTTTACATGGAATTATTGGTAACACTTTACTTGAAGGGGTGTGCATAAGACTGACATGACACCTTCATAATCATGACATGACACATGTCATGAATATGAAGGAGGTTTTATGCATGTTTATGACAACTGTCATTAAGTGTCATTCGCTCAGTTATGTCATTTTTAATGGAAATATGACATTATTTGACCTAACCCTAACCTAACCCTACCCCTACCCTTACCCCTAACCATAGCCCATAACAAAGACATCTCAAACAATGTCATCTTTGCATTAAAAATTACATAACTGAGAGAATGACACTTAATGACAGTTGTCATAAACATGCATAAAAAACCTTCATATTCATGACATGTGTCATGTCATGATTATGAAGGTGTCATGTCAGTCTTATGCACACCCCTTCAAGTAAAGTGTAACCGAATTATTTTCTTATCTTACTTTAAATGTGCTATAAAAAAAATCAAATAAACTGCTGCACAATATTCAATCATTTGTAATCTATATTGTTTTCCTAATGACAATTTTATGATTGTTTTATATACTACAAACAATTATTTAAATTTTCTGCACAGAATTAGGTAGAAAATATACTTTATAGTTTCTATACTGTAATAAATGATATGTCAATTAGCACTGTATCATACATAAATTGTATTTATTTATTGTGTTTATTGTGTTTATTGTCTTAAATTAAATGTAAGATGGCGCCGACGCTGAAGGCTGCCTCCGTGGCATGCTCCGCAGTTGTTTTTATTAGTTTGTCCTGTCTTTAGTTATATCTCTGCAATCAGTTTCACCAGAGATGAATTGCTGGACATTTGGCAGTACACACCACCCGATATTTCACCGGTTTTCGACTATTCGGATGTTTTGCTGGACATTGTTGTCGGGGGAGCTGCGGCGCTGATCAAGCGCTTCAGGACGCGCAGACGGGGGAAGCGAGCCGGCGCGCTCGTGAAGCTCAGACAGCGCGGATTCAGAATGCCGTTGCCAAGCATCCATCTGGCAAATCTCCGCTCTCTACCTGTAACCGGGCTGACGAGACGTGAGACTTGCGGATCCATTCGCAGAGCTTTTTATTGGAGAAGACAGAGACGTGGTCATACAGCAGGCATGGGTCAGATAATGGCAGACAGGTATATGGTGGGCAAAACACAAGAATAGTCCTAGGGCTAGCACAGGTCGACGATCGGCAGACAGAATCAAAAGGGGCAAGACAAAAGGGGTGAATCCAGGGAACCAGGCAAAGATCAGAAACCGAGAAGGCTAAGGCTAAGGCTAAGGCTAAGGCAAATGACTAGGGCTAAGGTAATGACAAGGACTCCGTAAGGTAGCTATCTCTAGGGGAGAGATAAATACTGAAACAATACTCGGCAGAGGGAAGGGATCAGAGTGAGTGTTAAATAGTGAGGGAGTGATATGAAACAGCTGGGTGCAATCAGTGTAAACAGGTGTGTGCAATTCGTGCTGAGTGCAATCAGTGCAATGCATGATGGGAAATGTAGTCCGGGGTGATGTGCAACAGTGTGTAGTGCGAGAGTCAATGAAATGGAAAGTTCATGGACCGGATTCGGAAACCTGGCTGAAAGACGCCATTCCGGACAGCGCGTTGAGTCTCCCGGGCTTTCAGCTGTTCAGAGCAGATCGCGACAAAGAATCAACGGGGAAATCGTATGACATGCTTTTACATCAATGAGAGGTGGTGTACAGATGTAACTGTGTTAAAGAAGATGTGCTGTTCAGATCTAGAAGTACTCTTCATTAATTGCAAGCCATTCTATTCGCCGCTGGAGTTTTGCTCGTTCATTCTCGTAAGTGTCTACATTCCTCCACAAGCGCATGTGAGCTCGGCTTTACAACAACTTGCTGATCTGATCACAGACACAGAACAACAACACCCGGACTCTGTTTTAATCATTCTCGGGGACTTTAATAAAGCAAATCTCTCCCGTGATTTTCATAAAATAAAATGCTATAGTATTTAACTTTTCCTCTCTATCAGCAAATGATGATTCTGAAAGAAAACGCGCCGGATGTCTGTTTGCAAGCAACGAACGCTACTTTCACGCATCTGATTATCAGATAAACCTTGCGCTCTTATTTCAAGGTTGTTGTTAATGCTGTGGTTATTTTAACAGTTTCCTTTGTACATTCAGTTGAACAACATTGTTAAAACACATTTATCATATATATACTGTATATATATACGTATATACACCTTGCTACGTGTACTGCGTTAGGCTAACCGAGACTTGTCATTTGCACTTATATATTGTTGCTCTTCTGTTAGTTTTGACTGCTTTTATTGTCCTCATTTGTAAGTCGCTTTGCATAAAAGCGTCTGCTAAATGCCTAAATAAAAAATAAATAAATCATTCAATGGAACTGTGCATATGCTTTAAACACTTAAATTTTTGCTCCGTCCATGCAATAAATGCACTGCTTCGACTGCTCAGGTAATGTCGTCGGTATGACCGAGAGCCATTGAAAAACTACAGAAAAGTAAAACTACTTCGCTTTAGCAATACTGGCCATGAGTCCTCAGGAGAGATCACACATCAGCTGCTCAAAAAATGTGTCAGAGAGAGGAACGGAGCGCGAGTGGAATCCTGTGGAACACTGTTCAAGGTCTCCATTAATTCCTGCTTGTAGTCATTTAATGTGTATATATTTTGAAAGCATTGAAGCGCTATAGAAATTATACAATTTTGCAATTATTCATTAGATTCTTAACGTTTTAAATCGATTACTGTCCGAAATCGAAGATTCATGATTCAAAAATCATGTTTCAAGATTGATGCATATGCATCGTCAGGGTTTGTAATCGATGCATCGAGAAAACAAGTTAATTGTTACACCCCTAGTTTATTCCTTCCGCATGCACTGAAACATAAGCAGTACGTTGACGTTCTTCCACCAACTAACGGAACTGTCTGTTTTAGTGAATGTACAAGAATAAAACTGTTATGCCGGTTTATCCAATTGTTTCCTGCAGCGTTAATGACAGATCATGTCAGGTAAAAGGGAAGCAAAACATTCTGCAGATGATATTTAATGTTGTGTCCGCTGACTTTAATTTTCCCATTAAACACATTTTAGTGTTCTCTACAGTGATTTCTGCTGCTGCGTTCGCTGCTTTCATTGCTGCTCTTCTCTGGCTGATCTGGAGAAAAAGAGCTGGTGAGAAAAACTGACTTTCTAACAATTAAAAACAGTTCAGATCTCACTGTAAGATCTCATGTTCAGATTGTATGCATCATAGAAACATGGATTATGTGACTCTGAGAAACAGAAGATTATTCCTCACAGTTATCAAATCAAACAACAATCATTTCTATCATTAATTTTAAAGATTCAACCAAATCTTGCTTCTTGTGAAATCTGAGCATCGTTAGCATTGTTAAAATGAAGTGTTTTTCATGTGTGTCTTATCTTAAATATTCATATTTCATGAGGCACATTGTTTTCAGGTAATAAAAGAGGGACTGGTGAACCGGTGGTGAGTTTAGTAATGCCAGTGATTTAGATTTGATTTCTGTCTTTAAAGCTCAATAAAGTGTGAATCATGCAGTTTTAACTGTTTGTTGTCTGAAGGTGAAAGATGAGAATGAAGATAAAGGAACGTATGAGACGATCAACATGTCCACTCCTGCTGCTGCGAGAGACAATGTGAGTCAAATAAACCATTCAGTTCTAAAATGTAATTTGCTAAAAGCTTCTTTATTATTTCACACATTACAGTGAGAGATATGTCTGTTCTGTGTGTTAAACGTTTGCACTGATGTTTAGGAGCAGACGGATGATGTGACTTACTATTTAGTCTCTCTTCCAGTAAAATCACTCAAAGTGAGTAGATAGCAGCTCATTCCCTTGTTCTTCATCACTGTCTGCTGTTCGGTCCTATTCAGAGAAAAGCACAGCAGCTTCTCTCATCTATACACTGCTGATGTAGTTCTGAATCTGAATCTCAGATGAATGAAGCTTTATCAACATGTGGCTGTGGTTCAAACACTGATGGAGAAACTCTGTGCTGTTCTTTCAGGATCATGATGATTCAGGGACTTACGCTGTCATCAGATGAACAGAAAATGAGCCGCTGGGTGAACTTTACACCTCTGTGAACAAGAACAAGAGCTGCACAAATAAACATTTATAATCCAGATCACTGCATGAGCTCCTCATATCAGCAGCAGATGTGACATTTCCACGACTGCTGAGATTCATAGTCAAAGTGATGTAATGAAAAAAAAGTTTTTCAGTAGAAGCTACTCTTGCTTTAAGCTTGTATATTGGCTGTTTCTTGTAGAAAAAAGATTGGTAACACTTTAGATTACAACCTGCAAAGAACTGTGTAAGTAAACTGAAGTTACAGCGTAACTTTTTTGTAATTATAGTGTACCTATTCAGTACCTCCGTGTAGGTATAGGGGAATAATATGCGACGTAAACCTGTGAAATTACAGATCATTTATACTGTAAGTATTTTAAAATGAAGGGTTACCTATTCTAATATTACATGGTATGATATGTATGACCTAAACAACAATCTTATGTTTAGGAGTGATTTAGAAAGAAGATATACTTTTCATAATTTTATATTGGTAGCCTATTTTATTACAGGCCTAGGTATTTTTTAACCATGGGGTACATCTAGTGAAATTTAATGAGTTTGTGTTATGATTTATAATTCACGAGTCTACTTGTCTTGTATCATGAAAACAAATACATGATATAACACTTGTATTTCATTGGATGTATACTGTGATGTTTTTATAGCAAAATAAAAAAAGTAGAGAGTTTAATTTGGTCATCAAACAAATAAAATAAAACTACGGCAAATACAACATTTGCGGGCTGTAAATTAAAGTGGTGCTTTGTTCCTCGCTTGTTCCGTGTAGTTACAGGGTAAATACAACAGTTGCGGGTTGAAAATTAAAGTGGTGCTTTCCCCCCCCTTGTTCCGTGTAGTTACAGAGTAAATACAACATTTGCGGGCTGTAAATTAAAGTGGTGCTTGTTCGCTCCTTGTTCCGTGTAGTTACAGAGTAAATACAACATTTGCGGGCTGTAAATTAAAGTGGTACTTGTTCCCCCCTTGTTCTATGTAGTTACAGGGTAAATACAACATTAAACTAGCATGCTGGAACAGATAAACCTAGCTTTAGCATTAGCTCTGTTTCACAAAGTTCTAAATTAGTACTTGTAAAAGCACAGTAGCACAATTGAAGCAAAAAAAGCTAATTAAACAAATTTATTTTGTAAACAGAACAATAAACAGTATCAATTTTGAAATAACA